TCTTAGATCCTTGTATTGCTGGGAAAGGTTAAGTTTATCAATATTAGTCATCGCACAACGTAGCTGTTATTGTGTACAACGTTCTCTTGGTTCTTCTCATTTCACTCAGCATCAGATCAGACAAGTCTTTCCAGGTTTTTCTGAAGTCAGCCTGTTCATCATTTCCCTCCAATTACTTTTAACAAACATTAAGTGTTTACTCTGGGCAAGGCATTGAATTAGGTGCCAAAGATACAAATGTGAAAAATTATATAGTCCCTATCCCCAGGAAGCTTACAGTCTAGTGGGGGAGGGGGTGAGACCTATACATGAATAACTATAATACAAGTTAGAAAATGATTAAGTGGGCAAGACAAGTCAAACTTGGATGGCCTGAGTGATTCATGGAGGGAGGAATAATTTCCGGCTTCAGGGATTAGGAAATTCTTTGAGTGGAGGAGGTGATACTAAATTTGGGCCCTGAAGGAAGAGAAAGTTGTCAGTAGGAGGAGTTTAGAGGAATCCACTCTAGGCAGGAGAGGGCAGGATAAGATCACAGAACAGTGAATAATCCAGTTTGGCCAGAACATAAAATACACAAAGACAGTCCCTAAGATGTGGCTGTAGAAGGGAGCTAGAACCAGATGGCAGAGGACTTTAAATGTTAGGCTGATGAGTCTGTATTTTATTAAGTGGCCAGTGGGGAGCCCCTGAAGGTTTTTTTTTTTTTTTTTAAGCACAGCAGTGCTGTAATGTGCATTAGGAAGATGACTTTGGAAGTGGGGTAGAGGAGAGGTACCAAACATGGCAACTGGCCATATTATGACCAGCAACACTCCCCAGTAGGGACTGAACAAGATTAAAATGTAATCGAGAAATATTTAACAAAATAAAGAAATAAAATACATTAGAATATAAATAATGTTAATATGTGGTTTTCTAAGTCAATATGGGCCACAGAGGTCCTTATGTATGGTTTTAGTGACCCCCTCTTCTACTTGATACCACTGGTATAGAGGATGGGGAAGAGTTGGGGGGTGGGGGGAGACAAGAAACCAGAGACCATTTTAATAATAGTCCAAGGGAGAGCTAATGAGGAGCTGAACTTAGGGTGGCAGCAGTATAAACAGAAAGGAGCCCATACATAGTAGAGATGTCTCAGAGGGACACAATACAACTTGGCATTTGATGGAATCAGGAGGATGAGAGAAGAAGGAAGGCATTAAAGTTAGCTGAGTTTCCAAACCCATGCAACTGGGAGAATTTCAGCAGAGATAGAGAAGTTTAGAGAAAGGCAAGTTTGGACACAAGAAGATGAGTCCAGTTTTGACCATGTTGAGTTTGGGGTATCAGTGGGACCCTCAAGTGGAGATAGACAGTAGGAAGTTTAAAGCGCTGGAGCTGGAAATACAAATTTTAGGTGGAGGTGGTGATTGAAGTCATGACAGTAGATAAGATTATCAAGAGAGAGGGTATAAAAGAGAGAAAGTGACTGAGACCAGTCTTCAGGGATAGGAAGAAGAGGAACCAGCAAAGAAGGTAGAGAAGAAATAGAGATGGAAAGAAAGCTAGAGAGAATAATATTGTAGAAACCAGTAGATTAGAGAATAGAATAAGGAAAAGAGTGTTCCAAATTTTC